AGATGGCTGCGCTGGCGGTAGTCCATGAGCTGCGGAGGAGCCATGCGCGATCGGACCAGCGCTCGCGGATGGTGACGGCGTGGTCAGACGTGCCGCGCGGGGAGGGGAAATGTCGTCGTAGGGAGGTGATTTTCCAGAGATCCGTGAGGCGGATGTTTGCGCGGCGCAGAGATAATAGATAGGCATTTATGCAGGAGTACAGCTGCAGGTCCGATGCTGAGATGACCATGTCCAGGGGTGATGGGAGGTCCAGGCTCAGCATGGCCGGTACGGAGAAGAGCATGTTTCGAAAGGGCGAGGCGGCTAATAAATTGGCGGCGTCGACATCCAATCCCTTGCCTGTGACCAAGGCGGCGGGCGGTCTTGACTTGGTCAGATGCAGCTGTATCAAGCTCCTCGCCAGGTCTAGCTGGTCGTCCTCTTCCGCGTGCTGGCCTTGCATGGATACGAGAACAGACCATGTCCTGTTCAGCACGGCAGCGACTTCGCCATCCTTGACGGTGATGTTCTTCAGCCCCTGATCCTTTTCGTATGCGAGGTTCCCCGCTCTGCGCCAGCGGTTGCGGATCTTCTCGTCTGCTTCGTGGGTCAAGGCCATGGCAAATTCACCGCGGCCTAGGAGGAAGAAATCCCGTAGGAGCTGCATCATCTCAGATACCTTGGCCAGCGGGAGCATCTTTTGCAGAGTGTTTTGCGAAAGAAATATCCGAATGGTCTTGATTGCTTTGGCAAAGTCTGCGCTTTCGAGGGGGACTTTTAGAGCAGATAGCTCTTTGAGTTTGGCGGGAACTTGTGCTATGCCGGTAGAGGTGGAGTTGGTGTTCATGGCTCGGACATGGTTGAGTGACTTGCCGATGAAGAGCATGGACGAAGCCGTTGCGCCTGTGACGAAGGATGGCAGGCAGTCCGCGAGAATAGCATAGTCCTGGCCAATTGTTAGACACTCTTAAGAGACAGAAGGTAAGCTCAGGACAACACCAGGCAGATGGGAAGCTTTACCTCTGGTGGGACTGGCATCTTCTGCACAAAAAAGTCATCGGCTCCAAAACTCGGCAACCTCCCGTACAGAACCCACGCGGAAACCTGCTTCAGCCACGCCGTTTCCGCAACTTTGACCAAGCTCTCCGCCGTAGCCGCAACATCCTGATAGCCACTCTGCAGCTCGTCCCTCAACCGGTCAACCAGCGTAGCGCCCTTGCAAGCCGTCCCATCTTGGTTCGGGGCCATCATGAACCTCACCGTGTCCCACAACCACTCCAGACGCCTCGTCCACTGCTGAAACTCGCCCATCACCGCCGTCAGCGGCACAATGTTGTAGGCGCCCACCAGTTCCGGATCATCCTTTAATATACTTTCTTCTACCTCCAGGACTTTTCTCTGGAAGGCCGCCAGGTGGACGGAACTTATGGCCGTGGCGACAGCTCGACATATCGTGCTGGAATGGGAGGCGGCTATCTCGGACGAGTAGGCGATGAGCTTGGTGTGAAGGTCGCTGATGTGGCCGGCGGATGAGAGCAGTTGTCGCTCCGGGGGTGTTATGCCCGCGAGGGCGTCTGCTTCGGGCGACGCTGGTTTGCGAAGGAGAGGGGATGGGTGGCCGGATAGGGAGAGGAGGATTTCGTGGAGCATTGCGTGCTGTGCTGCATGTCAGAACGGTGGCACTTGGGGTTTGGGGGGAGAACCAGGGTCGTATTTACAGCTTTTGGGCTCTTTTGCGCTTAATGACGTCTCGAACGCCGTGGAAGATAAGGATGATGACACCGAGCAGCTCGAATCGGCACATAGGGACTTGCGATGGCGGGGTGGTTCGCTCCAAAAGCCAACGTTTGCTTGCTAATGCCGCGCCGACGGGCCGAGTGCCCACAATCGTAGGGGGGGCAGTCGGAGATCTTCTATAGGATTGTATTCAAATCTCTTGGACAGGAATTGTTCGCATTAAGCAACAAAGTCAGGTGTTCGAGAATATTAGACAGCTACGCGGGGGAGGGGGGTTATCGCGACGCGAAGGACGTCACGTACACACGTGATCCACTTTTGTGGTGTTTAGATAGCATTCAAGATGGAAAGATGGATGATTGTCAGTCAGCACGCAAGCTGGAGTCTTTCATGACTTTTCTGGCTGCAGTTGGTGTCAATTTGATATTTATACTACTACTCCGTTAAACTACTGATAGGTAACATACATGCAGCAAGTCATTAATAAAGGGTGTCATAATCGTCTGCTCCCGCTTTAGAGTAAGCCGTTCCTGTTGCGTCCAGCATCATACTCATGCATCATACTCATGTACCAACTTTGCCTTACGAGGGAGGAGGCTTCTTCACATCACCTCCATAGCCAGTCGCAATACTCGCACCATCTCCGTATGTATCATGGGCCTTCTTTTCCTTGCCAGTTCCGCTGCCTTCGGCTACGGATGCCACCGCTGGCTTCTCAGTACCACCTACAATGACCTTTCCACCACCTTTGACATTTCCTACCACCATGCCCTTCGCAACACTCTTCAAAATAGCGCGACGAGACACACCCGTGACATCAATGTAAACGAGGCCAACATTCTTGACTCCACCACCGAGATTGCGGGAGACCTCACCAGCTTCGGGGCCCCATTTGTGCTCAACAACTTGGCTCATACTGGTCGTGGTGCTCGTGAGTAAGCTGCGTCCGGCTTGCTCCATACCATCTACGACTGTGTTGAAGGCCATCAGGCTCTTGTTCAGCATGCCGGGCTTGTAGGTGTCAATCTCGTTACCATCCTTGTCATATCCCCTGGCGCGACCATCTTTGCGCTTAGAAAGGTTGGCACCAAAGTTCTGCGCAACCTTGGCGATGGAGCCAACGGTAGCGGCGGATAGGCCAGCAGCCTTGGTGGAGAACTGGTTGATCTTTCGAATGTGATCGTGAGTGGTTGGTGTAAAGGTGACGGGCTTGGTACTGGCCTGGGTTTTCTTGGTGAAATTGTCGGCTTGGCTATTGAGGGTATGCGCTACATAGTCTGATGTGGTGATGAGCAGTCGAGATGCCTTCATGCCCATCCCGACAATGGTGGACTTTTTGTATGCAGGATGAATTTTGTTTTCCTCGTCATAGTAACCCGACGCCGGCTGCACATTGATTGCTTGAGAGGCATCGGTGGGGAGGGCGATTTCGACAGGGTCTGCAACATGAAAGAATGATTAGTGTGGCCCCTTTTCAACGAGAGGAAGGCACTCATGGTATAGGGGGCTTCATACCTTTAGATCCGGGCTTAATGCCTGTATCTTCCACCACCTGAAATCCGTCACTCAGCTCGCCAACAACACTGCCATTTTCCTCGTCCACCAAGACAATTCGACCGCCTTTGGAAGTGGAGCTCAAGCTGCCCTGAACATAGGCCTCACCTTTGTTAAATGCGCCAGGATCATAGGCAGGCAGCTCTTCGCCCGCGGCCTCTCTGGCCTTAGCCGACGCTCCAGAGGTAGGCTTTGTCTTGCTGTGCTTAGGCTTTGGTGGCGGCGCACGCTCCAAGAAGGCCGTACACTGCGCAAGAATCGTCTCAAAGGTATCCACGTCCTCTTGAATGCCTGGGCGACTCTGCAAAGCCGGAAACTCGATTCGCGTAAAAGCACCGCTGTCGGGACCGAGATCCCAGCGAGGAATGAGGTAGCTCGTTGGGGGCTGATGATAGATCTGGGTAGTGGCGGGCAGTGGCAGGTCCAGCTCAGGTGGTAAATGGAGATGTAGATAAAAGTCCTCTTCTCCAGAACCAATGCCAGAAGGATCGGCAAAGCCAGAAGATGTTGGGACCATAAGCAGCGACAGGGTCTGCGGCCCGCTGGTGGTCAGGGATTGTTCATTGCCATGAGAGATGTGGTAGGCTTTGATGCCTTCGACGGCGTAGAGGAGCTTAGGGTCCTGGAGGATTGTTGAGTGATGAGCAGTGGTGGTAGACAGACAAAAGCTTACATTGTTCCCTGAAGCCATGACAGGCGATAGACTACTCCAAAATAGCGGGTGTAGAATCTGACACGAAAAATTCTGCCTCTTTGTGCAGTGTAGATTTCACAGTTCGTCACTGGAAGCTGGCCGTCGCGGAGTGTAAATCGCGGGGCAGTGGCGATGACGTTGGCGCCGGTGACCACTAAAACCAACACGAGCCTGGACCAAAAAAAATCGAAGAACTGAATGGAGGTGGCCTTCTTTTATCCTTTCAATAAATTAGCCGCATGGAGTTGATAAGAAACAGAGCAATGGCAGATTAATAAAACATAAACGATGGCAGGTCCTCTAGGTTCAAGCCGCCGCGACAAATTAAGCAACAAATCTATTCATGGCGCCAGCACCTTGGCGGCGGTTGGACCTGCAAGCGCCGGACATCTGGGCCCGGCCTAACAGCTTCGAAATCGTGGGTGCCAGAGCGTGACGCTTGTTGGCTGTGAGGCCTCTGAAGCTAGGGGCTGGCGGGTCAATCGCTGTCATTGGGCCAGTCTTGAGCGATGCGCACATATCGCCACTTTTACCTGACAGACATGAAGGTGTTGTCGTGTATCATCAGAGCGGGGAGCTGACGCAACGTGGCTGCAGTTGCAACGCTTGTCTAGCAGATCTATTATGCTTTTAGACTTTTCTTATTACCCAGATGAATATGGCTTTCCGGCCAGCCACTCGCATGCCGGCTGGGCCAACAACTACTACCTAGAGGATCCGTCCAGAATTGACAGGCGGTGCGCTGGCAAACTGAAGCTCAGTTCGGAGTATATAGAGCACATACACATTGCGTCGAGGTCGTGCCACTGCTACCGAGTTGGCCTGCCAAAGGTGAGCCCAGGTTCCTTGTCACTGGATACTACACATGTCGCATCCTGTTCTCAGATCAATGCACGCCCCCACCCCCAAAGCCCAAGCATTTTTCATACATCTTTGACGAGCCACATCGCCACTCACTACGTCAATCATTCCGCCGCCGCGTCTCTCACCATTACCATATGTACTGGATATCGCCTTGATTACATCATCAGTCAACGGGCGAATGGTTTAGTGGTATAATACTCCCTTAGCATGGTTCATCAAGTGAATTCATTGACTGGGAGTGGTCCGGGGTTCGATTCCCCGTTTGTCCATATACTTTGACAGATGGACTGTCCATCAGTTTTGCCTTGTCATTAGCCATGTCTTTCTTTTTGCTGGCTTCTTCAAAAGTTTCCCATATTGTGGCGGCCATTTCAGGGTTGCTTATGCACTAAATGGAACACTCTGCTCTGTAAATCGCGTGCTCTGATAGGTGGCCACCCCTCGGAGGTTTTTACATTCAGCAATGTTGACGTCAGTCGACAATTAACATACGGCACGCACCACAAGTTTATACATAAAAATCGCTACATCCTACGCATTACTTGTTCGTCAGTGTCAATGTCACTTTGTACGGTTGCTGATATGCCCCTGTTCCCTTTTTTCCCCATGGCATTTTCTCCCGGGGACCGTTTCGTAGCAACGCGGCATCATCGCTTGCGGCAGAGCCGATGGGGCGGCACAATCTCCACACGGTCATTGTATGTACTGTCCCTCCTCTAGTGCGACTTTCTGCTCACGCCTACGGTTCTCCTCTATTTCCTCCTGGGGCATAGAACGCCCCCAGGCAAGCGCCCAGCGTGATGATTTTGTTCGTCTCAATGCCTCAAGCTCATTTTCTTTGGTGGATTCCTCCATTCTTTCCATGGCAGCACGATTTTTGGCCCCGAGATTCGAGGTATTTCCGCCCTCGTTGTCACCGTCAACAATTTCATCCCAGTCATATGCATCCACCCCTCTCGCCCCCCTGAGATACATTGCCTTATTCCCAATTGTCGGTGCTTAAAGCACGGAGAATCGTGCACCAACTAGGTTGGGTGAAGCTTCCAAGTTGATATTCACCATGCTGGAGAATGTCTTGACGAAAGGGCTCTCTTGTCTTGGTCAGTTTTGACGAGCATGAAACGGAACAGATGAAGGCGAAATTAAGCTCCTGTGCATGCTGCCTATCCACAATTCATTGATTCGCCTGATTTCTACCGATGGTTCGTCAGACCCTTGATTTAGAAGCTGCGTTCAGCAGCTTATCTGTATGTGAACGTCGAAGCCGTCGCGAAAGTAAATCTCCTTCATCTAATTGCATATTTGATCCGTCCAGGATCTATGAGACTCCCGAAGGGTTTCCTTCGCCACACGAGCTGACAAAGTATTTGGCAGACGAGAAGCTGTAAGTTAAATAACTTCAGTATGGTTTTCTCGCATTAATGGGGATTACTATGTTGTAATATTTTGTTGTCCCTCATGGACTTATCGTATGATGAAAAAACACATTAAATACCGGCATTAGTTATACGGTACCCTGCCGGAGAGCATTAACCAACAATACCAGGACACGGTAATAGACTTGCAGCGTGCGGCGGCGTGTGGGGATTATTTATTATCGTTATAATTATTATTGGTAGTCCAAAAATGCATGCAACAAACCGGCGAATTAAAAAAGAAAACGCAAAAATAAAAACTTGCCCGCGGCCTGGATCGAACACACCACCACCGTCGTACGAGGGCAATTGTTGTTAATGGAACTAGTTATTGCGTGTGTTATAACTGGTGTGCAACTACGGAGTAGTAGTCATCGCTCAGTTTGCTCCCCGCATGGTTAAGGGTGTTTTCGCCTTTCTGTAACTTCTAGTCTTACTTTGTAGAATATTTAGCTAATTGTTTTAACCTCGATTTATTCTCTTTTTTTTTTCATTCGTATTATTATTGTCCCTGTTCAATCTGCTGACCAGAAAGCGCTGTCAATAGTTAGTGCAGAACCCTGCTGTCTCCCAGAGCATAACGGGTTGTATAATTCCTTAACTCTCCTCGCTTGGGTGGGACAGCTTTGTACTTCCAGCCAAACAAAACACTCCTTTCGCGCGTAGGTATTTCTCTACCAATAAACTTACATCCAATTTTCTCTTCTGGTGGCATCTTCATCCACTGGGCTGGCGTAGGCAGCAACTTTGGTCTTACCGCATAGGAAGGCGACCCGTGAGGCAAGGTCAGCTAACACGCAGACGCCCAGCACTAGGCAGAAAAGGACAAAGAGTTATCTATAGGAATTCTAGCTATGAATTACGAATGATGCATCCAAGTTACCAATCCCCTTCTTAGTCTCACCAACACTCAACTGTGCGACCGAGACTGCAGCTCTCACAGCTCGCCCAACGGTTCGTCGCATCGCGATCCTTTCACGTGGAAAGAAGGTTGAAATGCTTCGTCCATCCACTACCAGTCGGTAGAACCCGTGGCGTTACACAATTATCTTGCTGCACCAAGGTGTGGCTGCCCCGTCATCATACATGCATCGCCACTCTCGATCGTGAGATCATGCAGATGTGCATCCAGTGGGTCACCGCACTTCAGCTCTCTCTACCCCATTTAAACGGTTACGAAGGTAACTCATTTTCCACAAAGTTATAGTTCATTCAACGACATAACGGCATTTAATTTCCAATATTAAAACTAAAGTACATATCATCATGACTATCCCCAGAGCATCAGCAGATCTATTACGAAGCCACATCCGCCCGGCGGCTTCACCTACCAGAATCAGCTTCCGGCGTTCCGGCATTCTGGCAGCACGATGGTGGCCCGTGCGTCCCTAAGTTCGAGACGGGAAAACGCGCGTGAAGTCTAATCTTGTTTAAAAAGCTGCTTGGGAGAATACCGCTGGTGCTACTAGAAATTGGGACGGCCTTTTTTTAAAATACATGAAAAAAAGATCGTTAATTATCTTTGATGTCTAGTCACATAAGTCCTGAGCGGCGCTGCCCTTAGAGTGCTAGTCCTTGAGGTATACTCCGTAGGTTAAACTTAGCTTGCAAAGGACGGCTAGTAAGGACTAAGGTATCGTTAGTCTCAGAATAGTTGCGAGTAACGACAGCCTCCTTGGGCTCTTCAGCGCTGCAGCGTTAGTGTAGGTAACAAATCCACGGAGTAGTACTATCCCAAACACCAGCATTCCCCTGCATAAGAGAGCTAGTAAGCTTACGGCTGTTGTGAATTCCACTAACAGCAAAGACCAGAGAAGTCTATCCCTTCAGTATGGCGACCTTGTAGCGACAGGCGACGTCGATAATTAATGATTAGGTCGACGAGTTTGTTGAGCTTGCCGTGTGTTTAATCGTGGTTTGTTTTTCTGGCACTACCACCAACTTAAGGCAGAGCAAGGTCAACATCGGATGGAAGGTCAGGCTTGTTAAACTCGGCCTTCATCTCGCCCGTGATTTCCCGGTGCTGCTCGGCCGTGTACCAGAAACCACTGATGACACTGAGACCGCCAGCATGAGACACAGCGGCGGGAAACTCACCACCTGCTGTATGCGTCATACTGGCCGGCATGGTAGGATGCTGGATACCCAGCAAGGTAGTCAAGCCCCGGTTGTGATGGGACTGGATGGGGCCATGGTTGATTGGTGATAATTTTCAGCAAAGAAGTGGTAAAAGATGGCTATGCTGACAAAACCGTCGTTTGTCAGCCCTCGACCATTAACCAAAAACTCCTGTCTCGTCGGTGTCGGTTGGAGTACATGCAGGTTTCGGCGTCGGTCGCCTCACTTGCGGTGCAGGAAAATACTCCGTCTCCAAATGGGTATGGGTATATGATGAAGTGGATATGAGAAAGAGCAAAAGATTCCAAATATGACGCTACGGTGCGTCGTCGCGCTTCACGATCCAAAAACCGACGAACCGACCTCTGCCTCAGACGCGGGGGAACCACCGTGACCGAACCACCCGTGCCCAGCATCATGACCTGCATCATGACGACGTCTACCTTCCCCAGAAATGTGGCTCCTCAACACACCCACCCACAAACCACCTCCTAGCCCTCCAGCCCTCCAACCCTCCAGGCCGGTCCGTAATGCTGGTGTGGCGTGTTCGGGTTTGTTGTGGTCCAGTGCCGTGGAGCACGCCCGTCATCCGTCAATCCGTGCCATCGCCAATTGTGACCTTATTCACGCAGTTCGCGTCACCATCAGCTTGTGCGCGCCCTAGCCGCCACCACCGCATGAGGGGAAGCTCCATCTAGAAGCATCCCATTGGACCCGGAATTCTAGATTTGTGAGCTTGTTGGGTCTTGTTGCGACGGTGGACGGGAGCTATTGCCGTAATTCACGGAAAGTTTTAGGAATCAAATACCATGCCGTAGCTCCATCGTAGCTCCTTCCTTCATCATCCGCTCTAGTTCTTAAATTACCTGACGGGTGCTTCTTAACGTGTTCCTGTCGATCTACTCCGTACAGAGTACTATATCAATCCAATTTACCCCCGCCTTGACCAGCTTCGAATATACATTTTCCAGACACTCTCCCAGCGCATTGTTTGTGATACCTCCAAAACATCGCCAACATGCCCGCCGTGAAGCAGTGTATCCAAACAGTCACCACGACGTCGTACCCCATCAAGCAGCCAAAGAAAGCTCAAGCCGAAGAGGCTCTTGACATCATCGACATTCGCAGCAACAAGGTCGATTTCAACCTCAAAGATGAAATAGCTTCTCATTTTAACCCCCCAGACGGGGGGCCTCGCAGGCTGCCCACACTGTTGCTATATGATGAGAAGGGCCTGCAGTTGTTCGAGGATGTACGTTGAATTGAAGTAACCTAGGCATGCATTGGATGTGCTCTGCTTGTCCAAAATGCTATGACAGCACTTTCGCTGTTTCTCCCCCTTCCCCTTAGTGGACGCTTCGTTCCAACTCATACACTTTGCCAGATCACATATCTGGACGAATATTACCTGACTGGTTACGAAATCGAGCTGCTCGAGAAATATTCAGTCGAGATTGCGGCCAAGGTTCCAGATGGGGCCATGTTAATAGAGTTGGGAAGTGGGTGAGTATACGCTTGGCTTTTTTCTTCTTTCCCTCGACTGGGTCGCGACCTGAATCTTCATCATTTACATACTCGCCCCCGCATAAACTCGCCGGTCGTGTTCGCTGGCTGACTTGTGAATACAGAAATCTCCGCAAAGTCTGCCTTCTGCTCCAGGCGTTTGAAGACGCCCACAAATCTATTGACTACTATGCCCTCGATTTGTCCAAGAAAGAACTGGAGCGTACCCTGTC